ACATGGGACGTCTCTCTAACTCCCTCTCGGTTTTGCTGTGAACCCTAAACTGCCCTTAAAAATAATCTTAAAAACAGGTATGCAGTCCTGTGCAGTCGTACTGTTTTCTGTGTATTTCACTAAGATAGAAGTGGTCCTCACACAGGAAACCATAGGTAGGAGGATGAACCCGAGGGCTGGAAAGAAAGCTTCATAGGCTGGGCTTTGAATAATTCTGAACGGTGAAAATAAAAAATGTTCTCTTCTACATATAGGTATCCTTCTTACATAGAGGGGATTTTGTTGTTGTTGTTGTTGTTGTTGTTGTTGTTGTTGTTGATTTTTTTCCCCCTTGACATTCTCCCCGCCCCATCCCATCCCCAGCTTTGTTGTCCATGTCCATCGGTTATGTGTACATGCATATAAGTTCTGTGGTTTATCTCTTCCCTCCCCCACCCACCCCCTCTTCTGAGGGTTGCCAGTCTGTACTTTACTTCCACATTATTGTAGTTTATTTTTGTTTACAGATGTTTCTCCTCTCCGCCCCCAGACAACCTCCTCCTGATTCCTCCCTCCCCTAGCATTGTTGTCTATGTCCATTGGTTATGCATACATTCATTATCTCATCTCCCATACCTACCCCCTTCCTCTGAGGTTTATCAGTCTGAATTGTACTCCTTTCTATGTCTCTAGGTCTGTTTTGTTCATCAGCTTATTTTGTTCATTATATTCCACAAATAAGTGAGATCATGCAATATTTGTCTTTCTCTGATAGGCTTATTTCACTTAGCATAATACTCTCCAGGTCCTTCTATGCCATTTCAAAGGATCAGAGCTCATTTTTTCTTACAGCTGCGTAGTATTCCATTGTGTATACGTACCACATCTTTGTTATCCACTCATCTACTGATGGACAGTTGGGCTGTTTCCAGATCTTAGCAATTATAAATAGTACTGCTATGAACATAGGGGTACTGATTGGTGTATTAGGCTTCTTAGGATATATTCCTAGCAGTGGGATCACTGGGTCAAATGGCAGTTCAATTTTTAATATTTTGAGGAAACACCATATTGTTTTCCATAATGGCTGCACCAGTTTGCATTCCCACCAGCAGTGTACTAGGTTCCCCTTTTCTCCACACCCTCGCCAGCACTTGTTGTTTGATGATTTGTTTATGGTGGCCATTCTAACAGATGTGAGGTGATACCTCATAGTTGTTTTAATTTGTATCTCTCTGATGATTAGTGACATTGAGCATTTTTTCGTATGTCTCTTGGCCATTTGTATGTCTTTTTTGGAGGTGTCTATTTAGGTACTCTGCCCATTTTTTAATTGGGTTCTTTGTCTTCCTTTTGTTGAGTTGTATGAGTACTCTATATATTTTGGAAATTATCCCTTACCTGATGTATCGTTGGCAGTTATGTTCTCCTATATAGTGGGTTCCCTTTTCATTTTGACGTTTGTTTCTTTTGCTACACAGAAGCTTTTTAGTTTGATGTAGTCCCATGTATTGATTTTTACCTTTGACATGATGTTGTACATAGAAAACCTTAAAGACTCCATCAAAATCTACTAGATTTAATAAATGAATTTGGCAATGTAGCAGGATACAAAATTAACATCAGTAAATTGATGGCATTCTTATACACCAGTAATGAACTCATGGAAAGAGAAACTAAAATAACAATCCCATTTACCATCGTGGCAAAAAAATTAAGATACCTAGGAATAAACTTAACCAAAGAAATAAAGGACCTATTTGCAGAAAACTATAGGACATTGAAAAAAGAAATAGAGGAAGATATAAAAAAAGTGGAAGCATATATGTTGTTCATGGATTGGAAGAATTATCATTAAAATATCCATAGTACCCAAAGCAATCTATAGATTCAATGCAACCCCCATTAAAATACCAATAACATATTCACAGAACTACAAAAAATAATTCAAAAGTTTATATGGTACCAAAAAAGACCCCGAATGGCCACAGCAATCTTGAAAAAGAAAAACAAAGTAGGAGGGATCACAATACCAGATATCAGGTTATGCTACAAAGCCATTGTAATCAAATCAGCCTGGTACTGGCACAAGATCAATGGAACAGAACAGAGAACCCGGAAATTGACCCAACACATTATGCTCAATTAATATTTGGCAAAGGTGGCAAGATCATACAATGGAGTAAAGACAGCCTCTTTAATAAGTGATGTTGGGAAAATTAGACAGCTACATGCAAAAAAAAATGAAACTAGACCACCAGCTTACACCGTACACAAGAATATGCTGAACATGGATAAAAGACTTAAATGTGCCTCATGAATCCATAAAAATCCTAGAAGAAAATCTAGGCAACAAAATTTCAGACATCACACGTAGCAGAATTTTCACTGATACAATGCCTAAGGCAAGAGGGGATTTTTTTTTTATATCAACCACCATTTTGTCAACTGTCTTAGAGATAGGCTTTGATGTTCTACATTGCCCAAGTGTACAAAAGGTTTATGTTCTTTTTCTTGGTCGTCTAAGTTCAGGCAGCTAGAAAAGAAGAATCCCACAAAGTATGGGGGCTGAAGAGCAAGCTGTTATATATAGTACAGTTTATTGAGGATTATATTTCTTTCAAAGATGTCTGTGGAGGATGTTAATAAGTGTACTTCTAAAATACGTGTTCTGGAGTGATATAAGTAAGAGAAAGAAAGTAAAGGAGGTGTTTTTTTTTTTAAGTGCGTGTGTGTGTGTGTGTGTGTGTGTGTGTTTGAGTTTTTGAACTGCTAATCGCATTATACGTTGAGTAGAGGAAGGTTTAATATACATTATTTCCCAATTCATTTGACCATGGAACCTTTTTGTCAGATATTCTGACTAACATCCATGGGCAATGTTATGAGTAGAATGTTAAAATTCTACTCTAGATTACTGGACAGGAGATCAAGCTAATTGGGAAAAATTGCTTGCTGATGAAAAAGGAAAGAACTTTCCTACTGTGGTGTTGTTTTCCTAATTTAAATGATAAAACATTTCTCAGATACTCAGATTTAACAAATTGGATACAAATTATTTCATCTTCTGTGACTTCACAAGCATGAGCTTTAAATAGACTTCATAAACCAGGTAGTCGTCTTTTGGTTTTGCTTTGGCTAAAATAACTTGTTAAAAATCTGATTAAATGTGAAGACGGCTCTCAGCTGAGCTTTCTGCAGTGCTGGTCATGTTCCCTATCTGTGGTGCTGTTCCACAGGGCAGCCAGTAGCCACTAGCCACGTAGTGAGCATTTGAAATGTACTAATGCAGCCAAGGAACTGAATTTTTAGCTTTATTTCATTCTCATTCATTTAAATTTAAATTATTACATGTAGCTAGCAGCTGTGTATTGGACAGTACTGTCTATAGAATATATTTGTAGACTAGAGCACTTTTATAGTATTTTAAATTGATGTGATTATAATTAAATTACTCTCTGGGGAGTATTTTTTAGAAAAGGTGAGACTATGCTGGATATACTTACACAATTTATATGCATGTAACTATAGTTACACAAGAGAGTACTCTTTCAGTGGTTTTACACTTTTGAAACACGAATTTATTACTAGCTTTCTGGAACATAAATATTTTTTGTAATTGGTTTTTATTTTTATTTTTGTAGAAATAATACTGCATCTGAAATAATCAAATAGGTTTTCATATTTAGTTTTAAGGAAAAAGGTGATAATACGAAGAAAGGAGATATCCTTTGAGATAAGAGACCTCAGATTTAGTTCCATTTGCCATCGGCATGCTTAGCAGTATTAAGACATTTGAAAACATTTTGTGGTATTGATTTATCTCTAAGTTGGAGGTACAGTTTATGTAAATGTCCTTTGAAAACATTAGAGCTGTACAAAATGAAAATAATTGGTGTTATAAATGTTACTGTTAAATAATTATGGAACATGCCAGAGATTTGACTCATTTTCTTTTTTGAATGCACTTAGAGTTTTAAACATTGTGATCCTTAATCATTTGATTTTCGACAAGAGTAATGTTTACACTTGGAGAAAATGAAAAGAATTATAGCATATAGATTGTCAAAATACAAGTTTGACTAAAAGAAACTTACAGTTGAATAATTTTAGACTAAATTGATGTTTAAAGATATGACTTGGAAACTAAATAATTTTTGGAGTAGTTTGTCTTATCTAGAACTGAACTTAGGAAATTTTAATAACTAAATAATTCTTTGCAAGCAACTTATTTAATATATTGATACTTTTTATCCTTGCTCTTGCCAGTTGAATAAAATACTTTACTCTTTCAAATATGACTAAACAGCTTCACTTTAGTATTTGAACTGTTAAGCAGTTCATTTCTATTTTTTTCAAATTAGCATTCAATTGTTATTGGGTTCATTATGAAGTTTTGTTACTTTTAAGAGGTAGTCGTTATTTAAAAAGTTGTCCGCAGGCATTTTGAATTGTATAATGTAGAACTGATGTCTTTTTCATAAGAAGTTATATAATATGTAGAATCATAGGTGCAGCCTCAGCATAAACGATAATTTTTTTTCAGTGTGTAATAAAAATAATTTTAAAGCCATATATATTTACTTTGATAATCATTACCATTTGTCTTTAAGTTGTGGTTATTGCTTTCTCTAATTTTCATTACACCAAGAGTCTTCTCATGTATTAAGAACGATACTTTAATATGTTTTAAATATAGCTACTAAATGGTCTTACCATTGGTACTTAATGTTTTATAATACATTTGGATGTTTCATTAATGTTGTTGATGTGAAAAACAGAATGTTTTGAGTAACTTAGCGGCATCTTTAATTGATCATGTCTAATTCAGAATATGATAGACTGTTTTAAACATTACACAGGGTCATGAAAATCTTAAGAGTTGAAGGGATTTTAGTATTTAGTATAGCTCCTTAACTGATGTGCATGAAAAATTTGAAATATGTTTGAGTTGCTATGAGAATAAGGAGTAAAGACAACATTCCTTATTTTTTATTTTTATTATTATTATTTTTTTAAAGACACCTAGCTGTTGGGCAGAAGAGGGAGCAGAAAAGAGGTCACATCAGCGTTCCGCATCATGGGGGAGTGCTGATCAACTAAAAGAGGTAAGTTATTTCTGTTTTTAGTCTAGAACCTATTTTGGTCCTAGCAAATTATCTTACTATTCCTTTCAGAGTTTAAGGGTTGCCTTCCATGTTTTAGTGAACAAGTCTGACTTTACCTTTTTTGTGCTCTTTGTGTTTTTATAAATATTTGTTATGCAACTCTCCGCTTTTGCCTTTTCTAGAATGAATTCTGATTTTATTAATAATTGCTTTATCTTCTTCATTTTGGTTATCTTTTGTTCTCACTTCAGCTTTCTGGTTTTTGAGTTATAGCAACAAGAACTATGGATCATAGTTTTGTACAATGATAAGAAAGTGTTTTCTGCTTCTAATAGCTTTTTCATAATAGCCAGCATATTGTTGTCCTTTGAGACCCAGTAATACAGGGAATTCATATCTTTTATAAGTAGTTTTTTATGACCTATTCCCTTATTTGTTATGAATAACCCCAATTGTGATCTTTTTTATGTATATTTTGGATTTTTTTTCTGATAGTGTTATCTTTTATCTATCTAAATTCTTACCTATTTTTTTTTTATTTATTTTTTTTAATCCTCACCCGAGGACATTTTTTTATTTTTTGTTCAGAAAGAGTGGGAGGGAGAGAGAGGAAGAAAGAGAGAGAAACATCGACATGAAAGGGACACACTGAGTGGCTGCCTCCCACACGCACAACCCAACCAGGGCCGGGAACAAACTGCAACCGAGGCACGCACCCTTAGCGGGAACTGAACCTGGGTCTCTCTGGCCCACAGGCCGACGCTCTAACCGCTGAGCCAAACCAGCCAGGGCTTTAATAGAAACTTAGAGTTGAAAAGTAATCTAGTCTCTCTCCTATGTAAACACTCCTTAAAAAAATAGTCATCTAGTATATTTTGATTGTTCTTGGTGAGAGAAGCTTCTCACTTTGCAAGAGAACCAAACTGCTTCAGTTGTTTTAGCTAAGTTGTTAAATAGTTCATTTTGTGTATTGAACTCAGAACCCCTTAGTTTTGACTCTGGCCTCTGTATCATTGTGTGAGTCTACTTTAAATATTTGAAAGGCTAGCAATATGTTATTTTTCTCCAGGGTAAACATTGACATTTCTCTCAAATATTTTTTTATATATGCCATAATTTTCATACCCTTTAGAATCATTTTCATATACTGAGTTCTACCAGTATCTTGCATATAGTATCTAAACTAAATAGATATAGTCTATTAGCATGATTATGCCTATGACTATATTACATTTTTAATAGCTTGTCTATAATAATGTAGAGAAATCCTCAGCTTCTATCTACACTACACACAAATGCATGTTCACAAAATCAGTTTTTCCCAACAGCAAAAAAAAATAAAAAGAAAGGAATGAAGAAATGAATTTGCAACTTTATCTTAGAGGTCAATATAATCTCAAAGTAATAGCCAAGATTTGGTATGGTTGAACTTTGGACTACAACAACACAGGATATACATTATTGAAAAAAGGAATGGCTAACATTAGTTGCTGAGTGGGAGATTTGCTCTCCCCACAAAGCAACATAATGCTGAATAACAAAAATAATTCAGTGCTCTGGAAATCAAACAAATTGAGAAGTTTTATTCATGAAGAGTAATGAATTCAGGGTAAAAATAACACAAGTTTATGGTGTTCTTATCTGGTATTACTCCTCTCCCCCCACCCCCCCCACCCCCCACCATCCTCAGCTTTGTTAGTGATAACATTTCAGCCAGGATGGGGCAGGCCTTGAAAAGCAGAAGCTATATGTACAGACTCCTAGGGAATATGCAAATATATTATAAGAACTAACAAATTCATCAAGGTTGCAGGATACAAGATCAACATACAGAAATCAATTGTATGCCTAGATACTAGATATGAACAATCCAAAAATATAAGGAAATAGTTTATTACAGTTGCATCAAAATGAGTAAAAGATTTAGGAATAAATTTAACAAAACTGTGCAAGACTTGTACACTGAAAACACGAAAGCATTACTGGACAAATTGAAGATTTAAATAAATGGAAAGACTTATTTTGTTCATGAATTACAACACTCAGTATTATTATTAAGATAGTAATTTATGCAAAATTGATCCACTGTAATCACTATTAAAATTTCAGATTTTTTGTTTTTGGCAGAAATTAACAAGGTAATAACCCTAAGATTTATGTGGGAAAGCAAAGGACCTAAAATAGCCAAAATAATTTTGAAAGCAAGGAAAAAATTGAGAGGCCTCACATTACACAATTTTAGTACTTATAAATGTACATTAATGAAGCTGACAAAAGGAAGACATAGATAAATAGATCAAATTTTTGAATCCAGGATTAAACCCTTATATTTATGGTCAGTTGATTTTCAACAAAGTTGCCAACACAATTCACTTGAAAAAGACAGTGTTTCCAACAAGTGTTGCTGGGGTAATTACATATCCACATATAAGGGAAAAACTTAAGTTCTTGGCTCCCGCCATAGAGAAAAATTAACTCAAAATGGATATTAGTCCTAAATATAAACTCTAAAATGATAAAACTTCTAGAAGACCTTGGATTAGGCGGGGCATTCTTAGATATGACACCAAGAGCAAGGCCAAAAAAGAAAAAAGTATTAATTAAACTTTACTAAAATGAACATTTACACTTGAAAAGACATGACTAAGAGCACACACAGACAAGCCCCAGACTGGAAAAAATATTAGCAAATCATATACCTGATATAGGGCTTATCTACAGGGTATATAAGGAACTCATACAAATCAATAAGGCAACTCATTTAAAAATGAGTAAGACAGTTGAATAGAGGTATTTCACCAAAGATTTGTGGGTGCCAAAGGTGTTCAGCATCATTAGTCATTAGACAAATGCAAAATTAAACTATGAGATACATCTACACACCAACTACAGTGACTTTAATTTAAAAGACAATGTTGAGTGTTGACAAGGATGGAGAGAATCTGGACCCCTCAGACATTGTTGGGAATATAAAGTGGTATAGTGACTTTGGAAAACAGCCACTTTCTTTAAAAGTTAAATCATTAACTTAGCATGTAATTTAGCAATTCTACTAGGAACTGTGTAATAAAAATGAAAACATCTGTGTACTTTGAGACATGTACACTATTGTTTATAGCAGAGTTATTCAGAACAACTAAAAACTGGAAAATACCGATCAGTTGGTAAATGGATAAACAAAATGTGGTGTATTTATGTAATAGCATACTATTTAGCAATAAAAAGAAACCATATACAGAATACTAATACATGCTACAGTATGAATAAAGTGCAAAAAGATTTTACTAAGTTAAGGGCCAGCATTTTTTTTTCCAGTGAAAGGCCAGATAGTAAATATTTTAGTGTTTGTGGGTCATATTATCTTTGTTGCAACTACTCAACTCTGCTGTTGTAGTGTGAAAGCAGCCATAGACAATGTGGAGTGGGTGTAGTTATGTTCCAGTAGATTTTATTTACAAAAACATGTGGCGGGCTAGATTTGGCCTGCAGATTGTAGTTTGCCAATCCCTGCTAGCTGAATGAAGCCAGATGAATAAGGCTACATATGATATGGTTCCATTTATATTGGAATCCTAGAAAAGGCAAATTTATATACAGGAAAAAAAGAAGCCCATTAGTGGTTGCATGTGGCCAGGAGTGGGGCTGGGGGAGTGGGGTGATTGGCTACAAATAGACTCAAAGTAAATTTGGGGTTGATGAAATCGTTCACAAACTGCACTGTGATTACTGTTGTACAACTCTGAAAAGTGATGAAAACTTAATGAAATTTTACCCTTACAATGGATGAAATTAAGGGAATATAAAGTATACTTCAGTAAAGATGAAAGGGAAAAAAGGAATAACTGTAAAAGACTGGTGTTTTGTTTAGTTTTTTTTTTTCTTGTGATGTGTCATGAAGGTATTAAATTCTGTATGGTATAGTATATAACTGTGGCTAGGAAAAGGAAAGGAGTACATGGGTAAGACTAAGAGTAAAAATAAGAATTGGCATTTGAGCCCTGGCCGGTATGGCTCAGCGGTAAGAGCGTTGCCTGCAGACCAGAGTCCCGGGTTCAATTCTGGCTAAGGGCACATACCTCAGTTGTGGTTTGTCTCTGGCCCTGGTTGGGGTTGTGCAGGTGGCAACCAATTGATGTGTCTCTCTCACATCAATGTTTCTCTCTCTCTCTTCCTCTCTTTATCCCTCCAGCTCTATCTGAAGATTGATGTAAAAATATCCTCGGGTGTGGATTGAAAAATAAAATAAAGAATTTTCATTTGAGAAAATTCTGAAAAGTGAAAACTATTATTGAAATACTAATATTTTTAAAAATTATATACTACTTCAACATTTTTATTTTTATTTTTTAGAATTTTTTTTCCTTATTGATTTTAGAGAAAGAGGAAAGAGAGAGAGAAACATCGATGAGAGAGAACATTGACTGGCTGCCTCCTACATGCCCCCCACCAGGAATTGCCACAACCTAGGCATATGCCCTGACCGGGAATCAAACCAGAGACCTCTTGGTGCATGGGTCAATGCCCAGCCACTGAGCCACACCGTTCGGGGTACTTCAGCATTTTTAAAAAGTGACTTGAGCTCTGGCTAGATTGCTCAGTTGGTTGGAGCATCTTGCCATACACCAAAAAGATTGCGGGTTCGATTCCTGGTCAGGACACATGCCTGGGTTGCAGGTTTGGTCCTCAGTCCAGGTGTGTGTGGGAGGCAACAGATAGATGTTTCTCTTTCACATCAGTGTTTCTTCCCCTACCCCCTCTAAAATCAATTACAAAATATTAAAAAGGAAAAGAAACCTGGGTCATTTTGGCTGGGGATTAAGGGAGGATTTTTAAGCCAAATTTAAGAGAGTGAAGATTCCTACACATTTTAAGAGTGTCAAATGTTATCTTGCAAACGGCATGAGATTGGAGCTGTCTGGGTAAAGAAGGACCTGGGACTATGTTTGTAGGCAGTAAAACCAGACCTGAAATAACTCCATGTGACACTGTTGATGTTTTCCTGTGGGCCAGAGAGGTAGTTATGCAAAAATGGAAATAGTAGCCATATGGGGTGTGTGTGTGTGTGTGTGTGTGTGTGTGTGTGTGTGAGTGATCGATCTAGAACAGAGCTCTACCCATGTGGGACCAGAGCCCCGGTCATCTTAATTTAAAACCTGTTCTGGAGCATGTAACTCCAGGGCGCTCGTCTGACCAACCATGAAGCAACATTGCAGAAAAGAGCTCACCAAGGGTAAACTTTTCATGTAAGGTGAGTTTGCAACCAAGTATTTTTGGGAATGTAAGGAAATCTAATTCCATTAAGATACAACAGATACTTCTTTTTAATACTGCAGCATTTTATTTTATTTTTATTTTTTTAATCCTCACCTGAGGACATTTTTTTCCACTTATCTTCAGACAGAGTAGGAGGAGGAGGAGAGAGAGAGAGAAGGAGAAATATCTCTGGGAGAAAGACACATTGATTGTTTGCCTCACGTGTGACCCAGACCAGGACTGGGGACAAACCGCAATTGAGGTACATGCCCTTGGCTGAAATTGAACTTGAGACTCATTGGTCTGCAGGCTGATGCTCTAACCGCCGAGCCAAACCGGCCAGGGCACAACAGATACTTTAAGTAGAAACATTTACATCTGAGGAAACACAATCCCAAAAAGAACTTAAGAATATTTAGAATTACACATGAAATGGTATCTTGAAATGAGACTAGGAATAAATAAGAACAGGCAGAATGATAAAGGTCCATTTGCAAATCTTATAAGTAGCAAAAGTTGGTGAAATAAACTCTTTGGTGATTAAAATGACATAGCAGAAGAGAGAATTAATGAATCAAAAGACTCAACTGAGAGTTAGTTGAAAGTCAAGATGAGCAGATCAGCTAGAATATAGAACTAAATGATAAAGAGGTTTAAACATGAAAGAGAAATTAAGAAACATAGAAAATAGACTGAGTTAGGAGTTCCAGAAAGGAAGAATAGTTAGCATCAGGGAAGAGACATTTTTTTAAGGATGAAAATTTGCTAGATTTGAAGAGCCATGTGTATCTTTGTATTGAAAAAGCCCACCAGTTCCGAGGAGGAAAAACAGGACAATGAAAAAATTTCAACCTTTAGGTATAGTGTAGTGGAGTTGTAGATGAAAGGTACACACACTCACTCACTCACTCACTCACACACAGTTTTCTGTGATTCAGTAAAAAGGCAGATTACCTACAAAGAAATGGCAGGTTGTCATTACATTTATCACAAACTATAGTTGATGCCAGTATACAATGAGGTTGTAGTTTGTGTCTATGTTAAGGAAATGAGTTTAAATGAGGAATCATTTTCCTTTATGAAGAGATTACTTTTCTTCTTTAGATTATGTTTGCTGAAGGGTTTTGACCCAACCTTTATTTAGATTTTACAAACTAAAAAAAAAAGTAAAAGTATACTTTTTTTATTGTTTAGATATGTGGTTCCCTGCTTATATAAAACAATTTAAAATTTATTTATACAGCATAACTAGATTTTAAGAAATCTTCCAAGTAAATGATAAAGATTTAATTAATACGTGTCACTTTTTATGGTACTTGATTTCTATGCATTTAGTAGAGGTTAAAGAGAAGAAGGGTGAATTTTAAGGTGTTTTTTGTTTTCTTTTGTTTAGTATATGTCATCAGCTTTTAGTGGCACCACATTTATTCATGGAATAATGTCAGGTTAATAAGACTGTGTGCTCACTATTGTGTAAAGCATCCAGAATTTCAGAAGAAACAGTAGAGAACAATCTACTTCTTAAAGAGCTTAATTACATATTAGGAAAAACAACCAAGACTTGAAGGAATAATTACCAAAAGACTTCATATTATCTCCTACTCTCCTTGTTCAATGAGAGAAGTTTGCAGCCTGTGGTACAAACCTAGAATCTAATCAGCCCTACACTCCTGTAGTCCCTTCAAGTGAGCACGCTTTCCAATTTCTTATCGTAGTCAACCACTTTTAACTTCTTCCACTGTTATCACTGCTCTTCTTCCCCCAACTAGGGCCTCCTACAGCTGGGTGACTTCATGAGTGATGGGATCCTGGAGGCTCCTTTTCTGTTTCTTGCTCACCTCCTACCTAACTCCATAGCTCCTGTTTCTGACCCCTCTGGAAATAGAGCAAGGGGGAGAGAGGGAAAGGTAAGGGGAATGGAAATGTTCCTACTTGACTGTCCTGTTGTAAGATGCCTTCACATTCCCTGGGCTTGACAAGTTCTTGAAACTTTCTTTGGTGATTTCATGGGTTCTTGGAGATCCCTTGTTGCTGCACGTCTCTTACCCTTAGTTCTGTTTGTATGCATTAGTGAGTCTCTTTCTGTCTCCTTCGCCGCTAGAATTCTAGACTGAGAGAGAATTCACATTCTCAGCTGCCAAGCTCTGTTCACCCTTCCAGGTGGCCCTCTCATATAAGACCTAGGACAGCCCTCCATGATGACTCCCGCACTCAAGTTTCCCAAATGGTTCCTGGAAGACTCACATTTTTCCGTTGTTGTTTGGTTAATGTCTGGGAACTTACTCATTCTAATGCAACAGTAAATATGTTATTCTAGCTCCACATTTTCAGTATCTGGAGTAGGTGTCAGATACCAATTCATTGTGACCCCTTATCTTTGGGGAACATACAGCTACCATTCGAGTTGTTCCATTAAAACTCCTCCCCATTTGAGGAAAAGAAGGAAGTACACCCTCTCAGGTCTTGGATTTGATGTTTTTCCTACTTACAACCTGAAAAGTTTGTCTTCTACAGTTTCATGGATGTCGGCAGAGGCACGAGACGCCTGGTTTAGAGAGAGTGGACTTCAGCATAGCAAGTATCAAGACTATCAAGTTTGCTTTGTTCCCCTAAACCCCAGTCACATAGGGCCCAAATGCATGACTACACATGCAGTAGGTCACATTTCAGGAGAGAAACACAGAGCTGGGAGAACCCACTGTTTTTATAGTAAGCAGTAAGCAAAGCTTTTTATCCCAGAGGGTGACGTTCCCAGAGAGAACAAAAATAATACGTGATGTATTGTTGTTTTGATTTGTTTCACTATTTCTGGTTTTGATAAAGATAAATAGAAAAATGTGGGTTTACTATTCCTAAGTCCTTCAGTGGCAATAAGGAAAAATCATAGGTTGCTTCTTTATCTCAGCCCTGCTCTCATTAGTAAGTTAGTTTTTCTTAGAAGGAACCATCTGTAAAAAGTGTAATGATTGGGGATGTTTCTCACTTCTGATCAAGTAATAATTATTAGATATTATTTCATTTTATTTTTTTGAATGTTTATTTATTGACTTAGAGAGAGACAGACATTGATTTGTGGTTCCACATACTTGTGCATTCATTGGTTGATTCTTGTATGTGCCCTGAATGGAGAGTAAACCAGCAGCCTTGGCGTATCGGGACGATGCTCTGCCAACTGAGGTACTGGGCCAAGGCCAGTTGTTAAATGTTATTGATGTGGGCTTTTCCTCTAAAGTAAGAAAAATTAAGTTTCCTTGCAGTTTTACTAAGAGTATACCTTTTACCCTAACATTCTTTTAGTATTTGGTATTTAAAAAAAATTTTTTATCATACTATAGTAGGGGAAAATAATTGCAATAATGTTTTATCTGGACCTAAAAGACAACAATCTGGAGAATTTTTATTATACCTTTGAATGCAAAGGAATTATGTGATAAACCTTTTAAAAATACATATATTTAATAAAGTCTCAATTCATATTGATTTATAAAGATGTTTTATAATTTTTCATCATTTAAAATGGTATCCAGTAGGCACAGTTTTTAAGGTCATACAAATGCTTATAGAAAAAATAGTAACTTCATAGTAGGTTAGTGTACAGTCAGTTAATTGCTTCATCAAAATTTTGTTCATCTTTATTCTAGTTTCACTTCTTGCAATATTACCAACATTAAGAAAGGAAGTTACTTTGTGAAATGGTTAAGATTATGAGCCAATACATAGTGACTGGTAGTTATTGCAGTTGAACATTAACCTAGTATTACTTTCAGCAGTGTTGATAGGTAATAAAGAGGTTACAAATTAAAGACTAAAGGACTAGGCCTGACAGTTATTAGGTGTGTTATATTGGGAAAGGTACTTTATTTTTTGGTATTTCCTACATTGTAAAAGAGATATAATAAATCTGTGAGATCAAGTGGGTTTGTGAACTAAGTGTATTTTAAATGTTAGCTTGGTCTGTTAACAGGCCCCTTTGAAAAATGCGCCTTATTGGTCGTTGTAAATACACTTCTATATTAAAACTTATTTTATGTGTATAAAATTGTCCCAAAGCTGGCTATATCTGTGGGGATGAATCTGTGTGGGAGTATCTGTCTGTCTGTTCCTGGGATAGCAGGTTTGTGTGCGTCTACACATGATGAGCACCTTTGTGGGTTTGTAAGGGTTGATGTTTGTGCAGGTAATCTCTCCTTATACATGTGCTTGCATATGTGTGTGCTCCTTATACATGCATATTTGTGCATACATGTGCATGTGTTTGTTAATTTGATTATCATGGACTGAATGAATAGCAGTTAATTCATTTGGGTTTGCCTGTTGGCAATATAAAGAAGAACAGGAAGACAACACTGATTATTTATATTTATGGAAAGACAAAAAAAGTTTTAAATTTGTGTGTGTGTGTGTGTGTGTGTGTGTGTGTGTTGGATTATATGATGTTGCATTTTAAATTCCTCTGAACATTGTCAGGGGATGTAATATTTAAAATTTTTCGACTACAGCACCTTTCTTTTGAGACCGTTGATTTTTATAATCACTGAAGTTTGTCATGTATTCCCTTTTTTTCATGTAAAAGTGAATAAAAGCTTGAGATTCATGACCTCTCATACTACATTTTTATAAAAATTTATTTTGTAAATAGCTTTATTAATTTCTTTGGATGTTTTTTCTTAGTTGTCAAAATTTTTATTCCCATTTGTATATTTATCTTCACTTTTTATAAGATTTATTTCTCTCCTTCTGAGTTATTAACGTGATTCTTTAAACAATGCAGAATAATGGTTAAGATAGCAAACTCTGGAACTACACTTCCTATATTTAAATATTTGTTTCGCCCACTTAATTGTATGACCTTCAGCAAGCTCTTTAATTTTTTTAAAAAAGATTTCTTACTGCTTTTTAGAGAGAGAAGGGAGAGGGGGAGAGAGAAGCATCAATGTGAGAGCAAAACATCAATCAGCTGCCTCACTCCCCTTACCCGGGATCAAACCTGAAACCCGAGCATGTGCCCTGACCAGGAATTAACCCAGCAACCTTTCAGTGCACAGGATGACGCCCAGCCGACTAAGCCACACCAGCCAGGGCAAACTCTTTAATCTTTCTGCCTCTCAGTTTCCTCACCTATAAGATGGGGATAATAATAGTACCTATCTCATATACTTTTATTGAAAAATGAATGAGGATTCATATAAAAGCAAATGGCGAAGTGCCTTTTTCCTAATTTTAAGCTAGCACTCTTTTCATTTTTTTTTCCCCCAAGAGCCACAGGATTCTGCTTTTCTCCCTAGTGCTGCCTTTTAAGTTAAAATTTCTCATTTCCTTGACCTACTGTGGAATAGAATTCATTCTGAGAAACATTTTCCTCCCTTTAAGTACCTGAGGCAAAGTACTCAACCAGTTATTTGAGGCTGAGTTTAGTTTAGTTTATTTTGTTTTTTAAATGTTAACAATAGTGGGCTGGGTGGGGAGGGGCAACTAACAAGACAAAAATAGCAAATTAACAAGGGTGATGTTACCAGATTTTTAAAATTTTACAATAAAATGTATTCCTCGTTCTCAGATTTTAAGTGGGGCCAGTCCTTGATTTTTCTTTATCTGATTCCACAAAGAATTTAATCATTTCTTTGTGAGTATACTTATTATTCTGTCGACAGTTATTAATTTCTTCTTTGTGACCCATGATCTCTTATTCCCTCTTTTTAAAACTTTGCAGCTTATGTGCTTGGGACCCCTTTCATGTTTAAAGAGAGCTCTTCTCTCCTTCTCTCTTAATTGTTTTCCTTTAAGCTTTATTAAGATATAATTGACATACCACATCATATGTTTAAGGTATACAGTGTAATCATTCAATATATGTATAACTTGCAAAATTGTCACCACAATAAGGTTAGTTAACACATCATCACCTCACATAGTAACAGTTTTTTTATGTATAGAGAGAACTTGTAAGATCTGCTCTCTTAGCAACTTCGAAGTATACAATATAGCATTGTTAACTATGGTCACTGTGCTATACATGACATCCCCATAAATTACTCATCTTACAACTGGAAGTTAATACCCTTTGACCACCTTCAGCCTTTTCCTGCCCCCACACCCCATCTCTGGCAACCACCAATCTGCTCTCTGTTTTTTAGATTCCACATATAAGTGAGATCATACAGTATTTGTCTTTCTTTGTCTGCCTTATTTTACTTAGCATAATACCCTCAAGGTTCATTCCTAATTTCTTTTCCTTAAGGTCACGAGTAGCTAGTGAATATTTAGAAACACAAAAATAAAATTCATCTATAGTTTCGTTTTAAAAATCCAATCAGTATAATTCAGTGTTCCCTTGGTAAAGGAAAGTTGTGTGGTCATTGCATCCTAGGAACGGGGTGGGTAGGCCCACTGTGGTGAGGACCCAAGCTTCTGTGTGATGCGATGGAACGTGGGCGTTAGAGAAGCTGTCTTAGGCAGAGGGTCAGAGCTGTGCGCGAGGTGGGAGGGGCTTGTGGGGGGGCGGGGTTTACAGCTTCCTTCTGCACCTTCCTCCCAGAGGACACTTGTGTGTGTACTCTCCAATGGTGCTGAGGTCAGGGAGAGGAGGTGGCTTTGGCTGGCAATGGGGTCTTGAGCATCAAAGAGAAAAGAGAAGAAAAATTCTGAAGTAGAAGCCCTAGAAGGCAAGAGCATTTGCCGTTTAGTTATGTAGGCCTGTGCCTCTTCTGAATATGATGTAAACGGCACAGGAACCATCCATATTCTGAAGTAAAGAAGGATTTATGGCATCTTGCTTTTTTTTCCACATAGTTCTTGACAAAAAAATGTATAATGTTCTGAGCATACATAAATATATTTAGGAAGATGAGCTTCACTTTTACCTTAATCTCTACTGAACTGTAACAAGAGCATAGCTATGTTGTAGTCCAAAGATGAACAGCATTGTGTGAACACCATAAGGTTGCAGTTTAAATAGGTATTCCTGCAAAGTAAGGTGTGTACCATGATGTATACTTCTTGTTTTCAGGACCTTGTTAAAGATGTTTAGAACAAAAAGTTTTCTGGCTTATTTTGTTATTTCCAAAGCCTTTATTTTTGTTTGTTTATTTTTAAAGATTTTCTTTTTTAATGAAAAAGTACAGCCCTGGCTGGTTTGGCTCAGCGGTTAGAGTTTAGCCCGTGGACCAAAGAGTCATGGGTTTGATTCCCAGTCAAGGGCACATACCTCAGTTGCAGGTTTGATACCCAGCCCTGGTCGGGTTTAGTGTTGTTTGGGAGGCAACCTATTGATGTGTCTCTCTCACATCGATGTTTCTCTCTCTCCCTCCCTTCCCCCCCCCCATTCTGTCTAAAAATCTATGGAAAAATATCCTTGGGTGAGGATTAAAAAATAATAATGAAAAAAAATGGAAAAGTACAAATTGCATTGATTAATCTCTAACCATTATGGGCTCTTCTATATAAGCTCTTACTGGTTTCATAATACCAGTAAACATCATTAATATTCAGAAAACACTTAATTTTATATCTCTATCTTAATTAAATGACTTGTACAATTTGAAATTATATATTTTTCTCATAGAGAATAATCTGTCTTGATTTATAATAATTACCTACTAAGTTTTATTCCTTTTCACATGAAAAATAACACCCTTTAGAAGAAAGTTATGTCATTACAACAGCCCAGGGAACACAAATAATAACATAAATAATCTTATTTATATATCTTTGCAAGGATGTTGCGAGAAGTCCATAAGCTACAAAGAACTTTAAAAAAACTAAAGGAATAAATGTGTCTTGATATAAAAGAAAGGCTATAAATTATTCCTTTGTTTAGGTGCTTAATTTCCTTCTATGCTGCTTCTCTTCTATTTGCCACAGGTAAAAATAAATTTTCCCAGCAACCCATGTACTTTTTCCTTTCAGGTTTAATAACAACTGTCTATTTTGCTTTTTATTGTCATGGTTATTCAAGGTAAATATTTAGCTAATATTAAAATGCATTGTATTTTGCTTTACTGTATCTCTGAGGAAATCAATATATTTTAGAGACTTTACTTTGTATTTATACTTTGCTTAGTAGGTAACAAAGAAATAGCTTTTCCAGGTATAACTATTAATTGATGTAATCTTTTCTGCAAATAATACCAATATTAAATAACTTCCCTCAGATTTCTAATGATACCCTTCAAATGCACAGGAATATTTTATTCCTCGTCTAGCACATTTTAAGCAGATTATACTTCACCTAAAATACATTAGTAGTTTAATGAATTCCAAGCCGTATTGTAGTAAATGACTTTTCTTTAGCCTTGGAAGTGTTACCATTCCATTTAGGACAATAAACCCTAGGTTATATTTGTTTTTTAAAAGTTGTGTGATTAGAGCCAAGTGTCTGTCAGTGACTGAATGGATAAAGATGATGTGGTATATACACAATGGAATATTATTCAGCCAGGAGAAGGAAGGAAATCCTGCCATTTGCAACAACTTGGATGAACTTTGAGGGCATTATGCTAAGTGAAATAAGTATTATGTAGAAAGACAAATATTCTATGATAATAATTGTACTTGGGATCTAAAGAAAGCTGAACTCATAGAAACAGCCAGTGGAGTGGTGATTTCCAGAGGCTGGAGGGTGGAGATAATGGGGGTTGATTAAACGGTCAACACTTCCAGTTATAGGAAGAATAAATTCTGGAGTGCTAATATGCAGCATTTTCATTATAGTTAACAATGCTGTATTATATACTTGAAAGTTGCTAAGAGAGTAAATCTCAAGTGTTCTTACCACAAAAAATAAACTAATTATGTGACAGGATGGAGGTGGTAGCTAATGCTATCGTGGTATTATTTTGCAGCATATAAATGTAGCAAAATAACACGTTGTATGCCTTAAGCTTTCAGAATGTTTATGTCAGCTCTATCTCAGTAAAGCTGGGAAACAAAATATCAGTTGTGTGACTAAAGAGTAATATGTAGTAAAATATTAAGTACTAATAAATTACTAATACTAAATGCTTTGATTTTTCTCACCACAATGGAATTTGCAATTTTAAAGTATTTAGTAATTGATAAACCGAGATCGATTTTGTTTATATAGGACCAAACTTAGAAACTAATGTTGTCCCTATATTAAGAGATTCTGTATGACTTTAATCAATAGGTATGTGAAATACTTGTTTTTCATCTTATAAAAGTGTTTAAAGAGGACGATATTTCTGGTGTTACAAAGGTAAAATCTGAAATAATCTGGGGAAATTTAGTCTGCGTATTTACCAACAACATTATTTAAATTGTACAAGTGAAGCATTTGTAGCATATATTTATTTCTTATTTTTTAAAGTCTTAATCATAAAAGCTTGTAAGACTAAATCATTGTAGTGAAATATCATCTCTGCTTTGAAACCTTTGAGAAAAAATGTATTAATACCCCCAAATTTAAGAAATAAGTGCTTAAAGTTGGTAATCACTTTTGTTCTCTTTTTGCTTCTCCTTCCCTCTCTCCGGAGCAGATTGCCAAACTGCGGCAGCAACTGCAACGTAGTAAACAAAGTAGTCGGCACAGTAAGGAGAAAGATCGGCAGTCTCCTCTCCATGGCAACCATATAGCCATCAATCACACTCAGGTAGGCTAACTTGTTTTTTTTTTAATTTTTTTATTTATTAATTTGTTTTTGTTACAGATGTTTCTCATTTTTCCTCCATCAACACCCTCCTCCCCTTCCCCCTTATCCCATCCCCAGCTTTGTTGTCTATGTTTATTGGTCATGCATACATGCATGTAAGTTCTGTGGTTTATCTCTTCTCCCATAAACCCCCCTTCCTCTGAGGCTTGTCAGTCTGTATACCACCTCTATGTCTCTGGGTTAATTTTATTCAGCAGTTTGTTTAGTTCATTATATTCCACAAATAAGTGAGATCATGTGATATTTGTCTTTCTCCACTTGGCTTGTTTCGCTTAGCATAATACTCTCCAGGTCCTTCCATGCCATCTCAAAGGATAAGAGATCTTTCTTTCTTACAGCTGCATAGTATTCCATTGTGTACATGTACCGCAGCTTTTTAATCCACTCATCTACTGATGGACACTTGGGTTGTTTCCAGATCTTAACTATTGTAAATAGTGCTGCTATGAACATGGGGGTATATATATTCTTTCTGATTAGTGTTTCAGGCTTCTTAGGGTATATTCCTAGAAGTGGGATCACTGGGTCAAATGGCAGTTCAATTTTTAACTTTTTGAGGTAACACCATAGCGTTTTTTACAGTGGTGGCACCAGTCTGCATTCCTACCAGCAGTGTACTAGAGTCCCCTTTTCGCCACACCCTCGACAACACTTGTTGTTTTAGGCTAACTTCTTGTCCAGATTTGAGTAATTTCTGTTAAAGAGTTCATTATAAAGGGAGAATCTATCATTTTAGGATTTAAAAAATTAATAACATAAATCCCTAGCTCTACTGAATTACTATTGTTTGTTAAACTGCTTAAGAAGTTGGTTTTTTTAGACATATGCCTACTCTTCTTTTAATAACAGATATGGCAGAGTGTAGTGGTCTCAAGGATGATTGATACTGACCTGGGCTGCAATCCTAGTTCATTCACTTATTAACCAACTATGAACATTATCTCATTTAATCTTCCCAGTAGTACCTTAACCCATCTATCTCTGTATCTCTTTATATATTTTACCCCCATTTTACATCTGAAGAAATTGAGGATTAGTTTCATTGAGGTTCCCTGCCCTAGAAACATATACTAACATAGCCTCTTGGACAAAATTTGGGAAAGGCTGGCCTAGACCAAATTAACTTACAAATATTTATGTAAATTTTAGTAAATACAGTAGTATGGCAGAAGAAACCCAAGTAATATATCAAAACAAGTCCAGTTAGGGGTTGTTTCACACATGTAAGGATGATTCAACATTAGGAAATGTGTGAGGTTAATTTATTGCATCCGAAAGTCAAAATAGATGCTAAAAAATTCTTAATTAAAAACTCAGTATTTATATGTGATAAAACATATTTAAAAACAGGGCACGTTCTAATGTGAGAAACTGCACATGTAATGAGATTTTTACCAATAAAATATTGGAAGTGTTTCTGTTATAATAAAAATAAAGTCATAGATGTCTGTAATTATTGATACGGTTTGCTAGTAATGGAATTGCTGAAGACAGAGCAGTGAGAAAATGAAGTAATTGTTATCATGATTTGCATACGACATTGTTGTGTGTTTAGAAAAGCAGAGTGAATGACCTAAACTATTATAACTAATGATGGGATAGCTAAAATGAAAGATACTGACAATACCAAGTGTTGGTGAGGGTATGGAACAATTAAAACAGCCACACTTTACTGGTGACAACACAAGATGGTACAGCCACTTTGGAAAACAATGTGGCATTTTCTTCAAAAGTTCAATAGACACTGACCATTTGACCCTGCAGTTTCACTCTTTGGTATCTGTCCTTGAGAAATAAATACTTATGTCCACACAAAAACTTGTACATCAGTGTTCATGGAGGCATTCTTCATAAGAATGAAAAATGGAAACAAACTAGTATCCATCAACTAGTTTGGGTAAACAACATTTCATGCATCTATACAATATAATATTATTTAGCAATAAAAAGAAAGGAGCCACTGATACTTACATGGTTGAATCTCAAAAACATGCTAAGTGAAAAAAATGAGGAGCAAAAGACTGCATACTATATGATTTGTTATATTAAATTATCGAAAAGGCAAAATTATAGAAACAGTAAGTACTAGAAGTAGGACTTGACTACAGAGAGGCCCTATGAAATTTTTTGGAATGATGGAAGCTTCTAAAATGTGACCATACTCATAATTGTATGACTGTGTATATTTGCAAAACTTAACGAACTGCACCTTAAAATGGGAGGATTTTATTGTATACCATTTATACCTTATCAGAGCTGTTAAAACAACATGCAAATGGGAAGCAAGCGTCAGACATTTCAAGTAAAATTTCACAACTTCCTTCTTCTCCTTAATCTGATAGAATTAATATATTATTCTTACTTTGTTCATTTCAAGCATCTTTTCTGTAAGACCCCAATGCATTTATAGTAGATTTGTTGACTTGTTGTTTAACATGGAAGACTTATGTGCTTATTCCCAATTTACATAGAACTTTTTGGCATTTGGTTATATGTAAAATTAATTATCTTTTGCTGTACATACTGAACTATTTTGTAGGTGAAGTGTGAAGTCTAGAATGTTCTTTAAAATACACCAAGAACAGAAAAAAATATGTTGATGTAAAACAAAATTGGTAAATGCTCCAGTTTTTGAGGCTGGATGATGTGCGCCTGAGGAGTCATGATGCTGTTCTGTTTATGATTATAATTCTTCATAATAAAACAAAAAATGGAGAACTTAAAGAGGTGATTAGGTAAAATATAAACATAAAAATAAGTAGTTTTTTCTTTTACTAGTAAATGTAAACTGCTGTACCCTCTACTTGCAACGTTTCTAACTCCAAATGTGTGAGTTTTTTTCTACACCAGCCAATTCTCCAGCTCTTCAAATACAAATGGAGTGTTCTACAGTTCCATCCCGACACTAATTCCCTGGAGTCCGCACAGACCCACCAGTGCAGGGCTTGGCCCCAAAAGACCACCCCTGCCCGAGACACCAGTCCCAGGTTGTCATCTGTACTTCTGACCACCTGACTATAAAGAAGGGACTCCCACAACCCCTTCTTCAGTTCAGTAATTTGCTGTAATGGCTCACAGAACTCAAGGAAACACATTCATTGGTGTGTTTTTTAAATGGTATAATAAAGGATACAGATGAACAAAGAGATGAAGGGGAACATAGGGCAAGGTCTGAAAGGGGCCCCAGTGCAGGCACACAAGTCCCCATGGAGTTGGGACATGCCACCCACATGGATATGGATATGTGTTCACCGACCCTGAAGGTCTCTGACCTGTAGTTTAGGGATTTTTTATGGAGGTTTCATTGCATATACCTAATCCACTGTTAACTCAATACCCAGCCCTTTTCCCTCCCTAGAGGACGGGGAGGGGCGGGGGAGTGTTGCTGAAAGTTTCAAGCTTCTGATTATGACTTGGTCTGTCTGGTGATGAGCCCCACTTCTGAAGGTATTCAGGAGCCCACCAAGAGTTGCCTCATTAGAACAAAAGACTCTTGCTCCTATCACCCAGGAAATTCCAAGGGATTTAGGAGCTCTGTGTCAGGATCTGGGGTCAAAAAACAAATACTAGAACAAAAGATGCTACTTAGTGGCAACCTCATCACTCAGGAGTTTTAGGAACTTTGTCTCAGGAACCAGGGGCAAAAACCAAATATGTATTTCTTAATATGTCACAACTGGTGATAACATTAGTTTAGATAATGAAAAATATAAAATGCATAGAATTAAACCTTAAAGAAATATGTAAACTATAAAACTTTATTGAGGGTATGAAATGTAAAATAGAGACATAAATGGGAAATCTTAACATATTCACGTATAGGAAAACTCAATATTTTTTAATAGTAATTTTCCCAAAATTAATGTACAAATTGAGTTCCACTGGAAATTTAAAAGGAATTGTTTTATTACTTGAAAAGTTGTTTTCAAGGGTCACATGGAAAAGTAATGCCAGTTAATAGAAAAGAATATTTGAAAAGGCTTTCCCTACAAGATACCAAAACGTACTATAAAATAACAGCAATTAAAATGGAGATCTTTATCAGCTAAGAGCTCAAGGAAATAAAATACAGACTCCATAAATAAATGTTAGGGCATTTGGATTACTATGTGGGGAAAACATACTACCTCACACTATACACAAAAATAAATCATAATGGGGTAGATATTTAAATATAAAAAACTACCAAGGTACTAAAAGAAATATATGTGATAGTAAAATAAACAGCACATGTGTGACAAAGTTACAACTTTAATGTGAAAATAGCTCGTGCAGCCCTTGCTGGAGTGGTTCAGAGGTTAGAGTGTTGGCCCTCGCACCGAAGGGTCTTGGGTTCGATTCCCTGTCAGGGGTGCATGTACCTGGGTTGCAGGTTTGATCCTCTGCCCAGTCTGGTCACATGTGGGAGGCAACCAGTCCATGTTTTTCTTTCGCATTGATGTCTATCTCTTTCCCCTTCCACTCTCTCATATATATATATATATATATATATATATATATATATATATATATGTATATGTATGTATATATATATTTATTTATATACACACATATATGTATACATATACACACATATATATCTATCTGTCTCTCTCTAAATATATATATTATATATATATATATATATATATATATATATATATATATACACATATCCAGAAAAGAAACCTCATGCATTATTAAGAGACGGAGGACATTAGTTCACAGATGGCAGGAGCACAGCATTGAGTATGGGAAATATTCATGTGTCAGTCGGTCATTATCAGTCCGCCTCATTATAAATCATACGTATCAACTTTAATCAGTCAGAATAAGAAAGAGATCATATATTGGATCATATATTGCTTTTATTTTTACCTTGTTCATCTTTATTTTTTAATTTTCTTTCTGTTGTATAAGTTCCTTGTGTATCAAAGGCTGGTCTTAACATTCGTCGGCACCCTTACAACAACTAGGAGAGGTGGTTAATTTTTGAGAACTCCTCCAAAGGATTTTTGAAAACATCCTGAAAGTTAAGTGAATGTTGTTGAGCTTTAATATGATAACATTGCCACATTACTTAGTAATCCAAAGGTTTTCTTAAATGACTGACAAAATGGAAATGGAAAATACTTGTAGGTAGTTGTCTCAGTGTAGGAAACACACACACATACACAGTAGAGTCACATGATACACTTAACTTTCATGATTTCAACTGCTTTTTCAGTAAAAACAGAAAAGGGAAAAAAATTAAATAGTGCAGAAGATTTTGTCTGCCATTCTACTTTAAAAGTATACATATTATAATTATACCTATACACTTGCATACAGGGTTATTTTGACTCTGATTTTTACCTTATTTTAGATCCTAAATTTCTGTCTGTGTATCAATTATATTGCATTTGAAAGGTCGAAATAACTCTGCTCATGGAGTTTCTCTTTTCAGATTTATCATACTCTTTAGTTTTGATTTCTTTGACCACAAACAATTTGGTACCTCCTTATCTTCTGTTTTGTAGGCTACTGGATCAAGATCAGTCCCTATGCCGCTGTCAAATATCTCAGTGCCAAAATCATCTGTTTCACGTGTGCCCTGCAATGTAGAAGGAATAAGTCCTGAGTTAGAAAAGGTTTTCATTAAAGAAAATAATGGGAAGGAGGAAGTGTCTAAGGTAAGGTTACAATGAATGTTTGAATCTTTTTTTCCGCTTTGATATTGTTAACCGTCTCAAAAGTCCTTTTTTTGGTAACAGTTTTATTAGATGTAATTCACAAACCATACAATTTATACATTTAAAATACGCAATTCAGTGGTCTTTTAGTATATTCAAAGTTGTGCAACCATCTGCACAATTGATTTTTCAGCATTTTCATCACCCTAAAAAGAAACTGCACGCTTTAGCCCCGGCCCTAGGCAGCCACAGATCTACCTTCTCTGTTTGTGGAGTTGCCTATTCTAGACATTTTATATAAATGCATATATATAATATATGGCCTCCTATAACTTTTTTTCACTTAGCATAATGTTTTTAAGTTTCACGTATATTTTAACATGTATAAGTACTTCATTCCTTTCTGTTGCCAAATAATACTCAGTTGTGTATAAATTTTATTTATCCTGACCTCAGTGAACATTTATATTGTTTCTACTTTGTGGCTCTTACGAAAAATGCTGCTATGAAATTTATATACAAGTTTTCATGTGAACATAATGCCTTCATCTCTCTCGGGTATATACCTAAGAGTGGTATTGTTGGTATGGTAACTTTTTGTTTAACCTTTTGAGAAACTGCCAGACTGTTTTGCAAAGTAACCGCACCGTACCATTTTACATTTCCACCAGCAGTGTATGAAGGTTCTGATTTCTGCATCTTCACCAACACTTGAAATTATCTCTTTTATTATAGTCATCCTAGTGGGTAAGAAGTGGTATCTCATCATTGGCATTGATATGTATTTCCTGATGGCTAATGATGTTAAGCATCTTTTCATGTGTTGTTGGCCATTTATGTATCTTCTTTGGAAAATTGTCTATTTAGATCCTTTGCTCCATTTTAAAATTAGGTTATTTGTCTTTTATTATTGAATTGTAAAAGTTCTTTGTAAAATTCTGTATTTTCTAGATAAGAGGCTTTGTTAAATGTATTATTTGAAAATATCTCACATTCTTTGGGTTGTCTTTTCACTTTCTTGATGATGTCCTTCAAGGCACAACATTTTTAATTTTTATAAGTCTGATATCTTTTCTTTTGTTATTTGTATGTGTGGTGTCATATCTAAGAAGCCGTTGGCTAATATAAGGTCACAATGATTTATTATTTTCTTCTAAAAGCTTTATAGTTTTAGTTTTTTCTTATATTTAGGTCTTTGGTCCATTTTTGAATTAATCAAAAATACTTTATAAATACCTGCATCCCAGAAAAGACATCTGAGCACTACTACATGTGAACCTATATTTGACCACATTTTAAAGGTATATTCAACAAAAGAAACCATCATGTAGCCTTTGGCTTTATTATCTCTGATGTTTTTTGGGACTAAAATATGATGTAATTTATGTCAAATGTGTATCTGATTCCTCCAAGTAATGTGTAGGCTTTAAAACTGAGTTAGAGTTAATCTAAAAATCGAAACAGTTTAATTTTATATTTATAAAATAAGAAAATAAAACTTTCTCCCTATCTCACTATTGCTTAGCAGCTCTGAGAGCTCTGAGCATTATTTAGTTTTTTTCTTTATCTACTCCATTCAGGTGTGTGTGTCTGCTGATATATAGTGAATCATCATATGAACGAGCCATAATTTCGAAGGCCCCTGTTGATAGGCATTTAGATTATTCTTAGTTGTCAGCACCAGGAGTGCTTTAGAAAACATCGCATACTCTCGCAAACGAGTTCCTGGCAGTGAAATTAGAGTTGCTGGGTCAAAGCATTTGTACGTTTTAAATTTTGATGAATATTGCTAAAATACTCTCCCAAAGGTTATGCCATTATACTCTCCCTAGGGATTTCATATTAAAATTTTTATTTTATATTTATTATGCCATAAGGGAACCCTTCAGAAGTTAAGTCATATCTTAGCTGTTAACCATTAAAATGTTTCCTTATTTGTATTAAATAACATTTTAGAACAGTAATGTAAGGAAGTGAAATTGGTCAATTTTTTTGAGGATGAGAAAATCAGTCACATGTTTGCTGACTCCTTAAGTAATCTATGAATAGCTAAAAAAAAGAAAATTGTACTGTTAAGTATATTAATGTTCTTAAGCCTTTATATTTCCCTTTGTTGCCTTATATTAATATGTAGATTTCTAAAATCTGTTTTGTTATTCTAATTCTTCTAATCCTCCTCCCCAACAGAACAAAAATTGGTTAAGGAAATTGATTTATCTGAGAAATAAGAATACAGAAATATTGTGTTTATCAAATAGGACATGAATGAAAGATAACTCTAATTCTTAAAATTTTTATCTACGAATTCTTATAATTCTGATAACTAATATCGACATTTTTATTAAAGTAACACATTTATTGACTCAAAACAAATATCTAAGTTTTCAGAAATAATTGTCATAAGGCCCTCAAATATATTTTCCAAAATGACCTTTCTATATGGGTTGTCCTGAGAACCTCACACATCTTATACTAAGCATCATATAATCTTACCCCTCCTCTCTCCCCCAAAAACTGCACCAATGATTTATTCTTTGTTCAGTCTAAGATTTAGGGCAGAGTCGTAATTAAAATCAAAATTTAGTTAAATAAAAGAAAAAATTTGTAAATAATAAAAATAAATGTTCTTAGCATTTGACCAAATAAATTAATGTTTAGGACTATTTCTTTCCTAAATTGGAAGGTTTTCCTTTTTTAATTTACAAAATGAACTAATATTTATGTAATCTCTTTACAGCAGAGTCGTTGTGGTCGGGTTGTGAGGATGGTGTAGCTTCAGCTTAGTATCCTTGCATGGATAAATGAAAGTTTTTATTTCAGTAAAGTCACTTAAGTTGATTGTTACAGAAAAACAGATACTTTTTGAATCTTACCAAATTTGTTCTTACTCCATTTTCTCTCTGACAGTACTTCTAAAAACTCTGAAACGACAAAGCTCAGAGTAAGAGCAGTAAATACTGAAAATGAGTTGTAAATGAACTGAGTATGTTGATTCTTTCCCCTAGCATCACAATCTTGTCTATATAATAACAAAAACATGTTCAATGATTACTATGTAGACTTTTATTTGTTGGCCTTTTTTATCACACCGATGAGGAAAATGGAGTCAGATCCAGCTTTAAGCAGTAGAGTAGAAAGTTACTGAGGCAGAAACTCTGATGCTGTTTAATCAGCCATGTCACCAGGAGCTTGAAACTCTAAGTTCTTTATTTATGAAGACATTAGACTAATGAGCTTTAAAGGTCTTATCTGGTCCAAAATATATGATTCTGTGATTATAGTTTCATTTCTATTTTTTTTTTATTTTTGCCCCTCAGAACAATGCACTGGAACTAAGCAAAATTATGAGTAGTCCTTCTCTGTTGGATACCAAATTAGCAGAACTGTTCTGAGTTATGTTAATATCCTTCATTGAGTACTGATAGGAAAAGACTCTTTATTAGAAATTTTGGGTAATTTGCAAAGGAAGTAGAAAACATGGCTTTGTTCCTGGCCTCCAAAATTAAAATAAGAAAGAATGAACAAACAAAGATTTAGACCTGTGAAGATTAGATTTGACTTTTCTTACTAGCAAGTGAAAGTGAGTTTTTGAGCAGTTCAATGGATTCATTCAAATTTTATTTATTGAATGTCTACTATGTGCCAGACCCAGTACTTGGCACTCAGTATACAGTGTTAAAAGAAGCCTCTGCCCTGGAGAATATTATGGGAAGTGCTAACCTACAATACATACAGAGAGCTGTGGGATTTTAAAGACAATTTATCCTTAGTACTTTGAAACCTAAAGACTTTGGGATTTGAAAGAAATTTTTTGTTCAATAAAGGTAACATATAGAATTAAGACACAAGATCGGTATTTTTATACTCGAAAGAATCAGTTATGCTGATGATAGTGGAATATGATGTCAAAGGAAACATCATGTTTCTTTGACGCGAACAGTATGCACTGTCGTTCACATGTTTGACGGTCGTTCCTCTGACAGCCCTTGGATATCCCGGACGGCCGAAGAGCTCCACTCCCTGCTCACTACCGGAGCAGCAGCACGCGCAGCATCGACACGCAGACCCCCTCTGTGCAGGAGCGCAGCAGCAGCTGCAGCAGCCACTCGCCCTGTGTCTCCCCCTTCTGTCCCCCAGAATCCCAGGACGGTAGCCCTTGCTCAACAGAAGATTTACTCTATGATCGTGATAAAGGTAAGAGTGAAACCATCCACCTGGACAGAGGATTTGTAGTAGGGCCTTGCTCATTATACTTTCTTTGTCTTAGACCATTGCATCATTTTTTTCTTTTGATGAGTGGTGGGGTTCTGAAGGATTGGTTAACCCAGGTTTGTTTGTTCATTGGTTTCACATACCCCCTTCTTTGTGACTCTTACAAACATCTTCCATAAATGTGTCAGAGAAGCACAGCACATGATTCTGAGAGCTAACAAAAGCTGTAAAAATGGAGTGTGTACAGCTTCATGTCGTATAACACACAGGTTCTTGGTATTGTCCAGAGTTAATGATGGTTGTGGTAGAGTTTATATTACTCTTGCCTCTAGTTAGACTTCATAATCAGATTACTTTGGGAGGAAATAATTTCTAAAAATACTGTTGGAAGAATGAGTATATTTTTAACCAAGTAGATACAGTTTAATAAGTTGTCTACAGGACATCGGGGATTATATTATAATATATGCATGAATTATTGATAACACCAATAAGAGGGCAGAACCTCTGGGACTTTGCTGTTGCTCGTCAGGCCCAAATTGTTTCCCTGAGTTCTCCTGTCCTGGGGCAGGCACTTGGCTACCGGTACCCACTCTCTTCTTTCCATTTCTGGCCCCCTGGGATCTAGACACAGAAGGCAACAAAGACCTCCCAGCTTCCACCTTCCTAACTACTTTCAAAGAAACTCTGAACTTATTTTATAACACACTTATTGCTTCTCCTCATAGAGAAATAGATTGTGGACAACAAAAATTTAAAAACATAGAAAAGTTAAAGTTTATATACTCTTAGAAGATTTTTATGGTCCTTGTCCCGGCTTGACCCCCCACTCCCTTTAATTTGTTTCATTTTGAGGTATTCTTACATGGAAAGTACCCATAACTTAGGTGCTCAGACCAGTGCATTTTTTACATGTGTGTACTCTTGAAACCACTGCCTAGATCAAGATATAGAACATTTTTAGCCCTCCAGGAGGCTCCCTCGGCCCCCTTCCCCGAAGGTATCCTTCCCCTCTCTACCTGGAAGGAACCACTATTCTGACTTCCATCACCATAATCGAGTTTTTCTGTGTCACTGGACTTCATAGAAATGGATGGCATAGTGTGGATTCTTTTGTGTCTGGCTTCTTTCATTCATCATTATGCCTGACTCTCTGCTGAGATTTAAATAAAACCTACTTTGGACTTTGTCCTCTGCTCTTATTTCTGTGGGTGGATCTCAGTGGTTCTCCCCTTTCTTTTTACCCTTTCCTTGTTCAAAGGCTCGTGCACTCCCTTGCTCTGCCAAGGTTGTGTTGAAGCCGTATAATACCTTAGGCATCTCTTTGCTTCAAGTGGGAAGTCTCCATTTCGCGTCCAACTAGGAAACTTGCATTTCACTGAGGAATCCTACCAGAGCAGATACCTTCAATCACTCCCTCACCACATTTTTCCTATGGCTGTTTTGCAGTAAAACAAACAAGAAAAACCTTGCTGCTTGTAGGAGTAGTTGGTTTGAAGGTAAATGGAAATGTTAAATAATGTTAACTTGTTTGAGGCTACACAGGTGGTAAATGGCAAAACAAGTCTGTCTGATAAAACCCACGTTCTTTTGTTACACCAGTAGAAAAGATGAGTATGTTTCAGGTTGACCCCTTTGCTGCTTATGAGGACTTGTAGTTGGGTTAAAATAAAAAGTAGTTAACAGTGATAGTAGGGCTAGGCAATAATTCTGGAGTTTTGTTTTCTTCTTTTTCAGTTTTATACTGTGGGTAATTGAGAGATGCTGAACCACAAGGGAAATGTTTTAAGGAGGTGATAGATGCGTTCCATTTTGGTCAACTATTTGTGAGGTTGCCTTCCGGGCTTCTCGGTGATTGTGTTCCACGAGGCGGATACATCTGTGGCTTCTGCAGTTCAGAAAGTACTCCCTTAGATCTTGTTTAAAACCGTGGATGTTCTTCAATATCTTCTTTTTCCTGAAGACTTATAATCTGTATTATTATGAGAGGGTGTGTTCACATCGCTCTCCTGCAAGGTCTCCTGCGGGGGCACTGTAAGGCTGGAGTTAAGAGCCTTGCTGGCTTTGGCACACACGAACGGCTTTGCGTCCTGTAAAGTTTGGGGCATAAAACTAGCATTAATCCTCAAGCATTCACTCAATGGTAGAAGCTGCTCTAAAAATAATCATCAGTGTTATTACTTGTTATCGCCCCATGGCCTTCAGGGAAAACACAAATTTTTTCTCTACAACAGCGATTTTCAGCTGGTTTGCTACAGTGCACTGGTGTGCTGCAAGACCTTGAAAACATTCCGTACCTGACTGTTTGGTCAGGGGCACTGACCTCTTTTTCCTTAGATTATCAAATACAAATGACAGCAGTCAACACAACAATAGCCATATGGTATGAATGAACCAGGTATGCCTATTTTTTTTATGTCAGATGAGCAAAACATGTATTTTTTAGTGTGCTGCAGAATTATAGTAATTAGTTTATGTGCCACAAAATGAAAAAGGTTGAAAATTGCTGCTCTACAACTTAACCAAATCCCCCCTGTCTGGCCTAATTTCTGTCAAATAGCTAATCATCTGAATTTTTCTATTTTTATTGACATTAAATTGACATAAAACATTGTGTAAGTGAAGGCGTACTGTATGATGATTTGATATATGTATGTATTGTGAAATGTTGGCCACAACAAGGTTGATGAACACATCCATCACCTCACAAAATTACCATTGTGTTGTTGTGGTTATGGTGAGAACTTTGAAAATGCTCTCCCAGCAGCTTCCAGGACACAGTCCACGTTGTTAACTCTGGTCACCATGCTGTACACTACATCCCCAGAACTTAATTAATCTTATAACTGAAAGTTATTTGTCTCCCCACTTCCTCAGTCCCTGGCAACCACCATCCTACTCTCTGTTTCTATAAGTTCGATGTTTTCAAGTTCCCATATGTAAGTGGGATCATACAGTATTTTCGTCTATCTGACTTATTTCATTTAGCATAATGCCCTCCAGGTCCACCCCTGTTGCAAATGGCAGGGTTTCCTTTCTTCGGCTGAGTAATACTCCACTGTGTATATACACCACAGTTGACCCATTCATCTGTCAGTGGACACTTCGGTTGTTCCCATGTCTTGGCTACTGTGAATAATGCTGCAGTGAACGTGGACTTGCAGGTATCTTTTCACCACAATATAGTAACCCGAATTCTGACCGTTTCTTAGACAAGTTAGACCTTTTCCTAAGACTGCCTTTTTAATGTAGTATTCTCTGTACGCTTCCATACTAGTCATCCAGCTGCATAACACAAGTGTGCTTTCTTTCTTCTGTTCCTCTTGGGTTTTTTAAAATTATAAACTGAAAGCATTGATTCAGATCATCTATAAGGCCAATAGTTTTTTCCTAATAGTTAAAAATATATTCTTAGTAAAACTGAGTGATAACACCTACCTCATATCATTTTGGGGGTAAATGAGATACTGTAGCAAAGTGCTTGGCACAAGCCTTGGTACTTAGTAAACACTTTTATATATGATGTTGGGTGTGGCTATAGTGATTTTTTAAAAATCTCTTCCGAAATTATGGAAATCTCAGAATCACTTAAGCATTGTTCTGTTTTCTACAAGACTAACTCAGTTTGGGATTTTTAAGACCTCATGACATGAGTTTCTTAATGTAGCTACCATATTTAGCTTTAAAGCATTACTTTGTTATTAAAGTCAAGTTGATGTTATTCTTCCCTGGGAAAATGTGTGACCTTCTATTAAAATGTGAAGTTTCTAGTTCTCAAATCAACTATCATATTTGTGAAGAGTAAATGAAAATAACATCTATCTCTTTTATATGTGTATGTATACAAATACATATGTGTATTTTAGGATCAGGAGTGGTGGTTTATGTATTTCAGCTGAATTAACACTTCTAGTTTATTTAAGAAACATTTGTTGAGCATCTACTATATACCAGGTACTCTATTAGAGAGGTGGAGAATTAGAAATGGATACTTTGTGATTATCTGTTTATGAGGAACTTCTAGTCTAATAGGGAGTAGTAGTAATGTAAATAAATAAATAATACACTTTTACACAAGTATGTTCTAACTACTAAATCACAAAAGAGGGACTCGTCGGTTTTACAGTTTCTGAAACTTGCATATGTTCTGTCATTCAAACTGTAGAATATAGTCTCTGATTCATTACTTCTCTCTGTACAATCTAAATTCTGGGCATTTTTAAAAGATACTGATTTTATCTTATGATTGACTTTTTTTTCATAGGAAAGCATAAATTGGTCTTTTGTTTCCATATATTGCCAGTACAGAAAAAAGTGAAAATTAACAGATTTTCAACACGTTTGCATCATTAACTATGAAAACAGAACTGACCCTGTAATCCTGTAGTCGACTAGGATTGACTTGGAGGACCTACGTGTTCTTCAGTTGCTATAGAGAGATTTGTTCCGCGGAGAACAGCGAGTTCAGACATCCGTGGGCGCCTAGGCCGGCTTGCACTGGGAAGGGAGCGCTGATGAGCGCGGCGCTGGCGAGTTGACTGACCTAGCACTCGCCTGTCAGCACCTAGCTTTGTCCTGACTTTGCTCACGTCATTTCTGTCCATTCCTAACATCTCTTCTCTCCGAACCCTGTATACTCTGAGACCCCGCATCATTTGAGTTGATTAGCCTGCTGGTTTTCCTGTGGCTGTTACACTTGTAGTGCCAGGACAGACACACTCCGACTATTGAAAAGGTGCAGCCATTAAGAGACTGCTTTCAGGTTTTGGTAGCTCGTGCATGTTTTCCTGCCAGGTTTTTCCAGTGACCAAAAGATGGAGGCATCTGTCCTGGTCATGTGTGTAAATTTGCCAGGCTGACTAACCTAGTAATGGCCACAGATCCTACGCTATGGTCTGTGCGGAAAATTCAAGGATCCAGAATAAGAGCTCCCATCTTGACAGCCTCAAAATATATCCTAAGAGTTGGCTAAATTCTTCCAC